TTACATGTTAAAAAAAATTGGGTGCTGAATCTTTATGTTAAGTAGTGATTTGGTCCAGTTAAAAAAGGTCAAAAATTAGAATGTCTGAAGCTGTCAAACTGAATTTTAGCCCCCCTTAACACAGAATTGTCAATATTTTGAGTTAGAGCTGGTAGAAGTTTCTATAATTTTGATATTATTTGTATCAATAGTAGTACACTACACTGTAAAAATCTTTTTGAGATAGAGCAGGTGCAATTTTTTTAATTTGAATTTATTGTCTAAAAGAAATGCACTACGAAATAACTGTGTTCTCGGGCCTAAGAGATGAATTCCTTAAATGTAGATTTTGTACTTTGGCAACTTTCCTGAATGATTTGTTGGTTTCAATTTGTCAAACTCAATAAAAGTAAAGGATTTACATCTTTGTTTGACAGAAGTTCTGTTAAAATGTCCCATTTTGGCATTATACGGCTAAAATAAGCATTTTAAAGCAGTTTCCATTTTATGCCTAAGAGCCATGCTGACTTTCTATCTGACAGCTTTTTATGTTCCTGATATTTGTGTTTCTATGCTTAAATCAAATAGCATGTTTAATCTTGGGTTTTGTTTTGCACTATTCTGTAATGATTTTAGTATTTTTTTTCTCTGACTAATTTTTTTCTAACAGATGTGTAGTTTAAAAAAATACGTTCTTTATTTGATTCTTTTCATATTTTGTTTTCAGATCTTTGAATGAAATATTTTGTTCCTATTTTCTTGATTTCATAATTGTAATTTTTCTGTATCATCTATTGCATTTCAAGAAAGTTTTGTTGTTCCTCGAATTTTCAGGTAACAAATCTTTAGTGCCTCTATACACATATTCAAGCAAACAAAGTTTTGAACATTTCTCCCATTCAGTTCGTTTAGGTTTGAAACTTTTGTTATGATTTTCTGTTAATATATATGGGACCTCGATGGCTAAGTGTTCTAAGTGATTGAACTACTGTATAACTGGCGTGTCAACACTGAGGTTGTGAGTTCGAATCCTGTATGTGACAGATACGCTCGACTTCAATCTTTATTGACTAGGTTTGTCAATTTTCCTTCAGAAGGTCGGTGGTTCTCTCCGTGCACTTTTGCTTCCTCCCCGAATAAAAAACTGACCCCCACAAAATATGAAAGTTGCGTTAAAACACCAAGCAATCAACCAACCAATCAGTTGGTATGCATATTTTTTACGCCGAGAGATCATTTTTTGTTAATTGGATTGTTTTAACTTAAAATCAAATTGTGGACATCATCATGGTATGTGTTAACAAATTGAGTCCTTTCTTCAATGATATAGATTAATGGCGATACTTTTCCTTTCTACTTAATATCTATTTGAAAATTTTCCTCCAATAACACAGAGAAGTCTTTTCCTTCTAAAGATGGAAAATTTTCAATACTACCTGAAAAACAAAGAATAAAAAAAAATATTCTATTAAAATATTTTATGTTTATCAAATGCATAGCTGTCACAGCTATTTGTGTGGGTTTGTATATACGAGAAATGTAAATATGCTATATATACTTACTGGAGGTGTGATGAGATGATTGAAGCTATTAATTTTCACCTTGATAGTATTTATGTGCATTTCGGCAATAAAGTCTATCGACAGGTTGTAGGTATTCCTGTGGGCACCAATTGCATCCCTTTAATATCAGACTTGTTCTTGTACTGTTATGAATCACAGTTTATGACAAAACTCAGTAAAGACCTGTCTAAATTGCATTTAATTGATAAATTCAACAACACTTACCGTTATCTTGATGAAATTGTTTCTTAAATAATCACGAATTTTCTAAATATACTGCCGAAATTTACACAAAGGAATATACTTTAAATAAATGAAATATAAACGGTAATAACTGTCCTTTCCTAAATTTAGACAATTCAGTTTTACACAGGAAAAATTTACGACAAAAGGGACGATTTTTGTTCCCTATTGTTAATTTTCCTTTTTTTGATGGTGATGTTCCTTTGGCACCATCTTACAGTGTTTATATATAACAACTCGTGCGCTATGCCCGTGACTTGGGTTTTGGATTTTAATAAACGTAATCTATGTGTTACTGGTAAATTATTAAGTCAGGGATCTCGTTACCACAAATGACATAAATAAAGGTAATAGTAGTATACCGCTGTTCAATAGTCATAAATCGATTTAACTTAAACAAAACCGGGTCACAAACCAAAACCGAGGGAAACACATCAACTAGAAGTGGAAAACGACGGAACAACAGAAACACTGAACTGCTACAAAAACAAACGCCAACATACATAGAAACGGGACTTTTTGAAACAGTTCAATTGCCATATTCCTGACTTGGTACAGGACATTTTAAGGAAAAATGGTGGGTTGAACCTGGTTTTATGGCTAGCCAAACCTCCCGCTTATATGGCAATGTTAAAAATACTGCTAAAATGACAATAGTATGTGACAGGAATACAGTACAAATAAATGCAAGAACACTCAGGACAGAAAAATACATAAATTAATAATATAATAGTACATTTAAACATGTAAACCACAGAATAACAACGAACACCTAAAATTAATTAACGACAGTATACAAGTACAGCACAATAGAATTATGAATTGTGCGTCACTTTAATGTATCAACGCCTCAAAAAGTGACGTCACAGGTAAATTTCTAAAAATAGAATTATTTTCAAAATGTGATATTTGAATACCCACAACATTCATGCATTTATTTAAATAAGAATCAAGAGATTTTTTTCTCCAGATTTTCCCCGTTTACATCAATGTTTACAATACGACGAAAGAGCGTCTTTTGTGACCTGACAACACTGTTTCCAATCTATTTCAGATGGAGAACGATATTTTGGTACTTTTTTCAAAAAGGTTTTAACCTCTCGATCTCGAACGATATTGAGGTCCCAATAATAACATGGCCATAGGGATCATATCTAAAATTCGACGATTCATAGTTTCAAGTTAGAGGAGTATTATTTTCTACATTGACGTCTGCTGTTACGGATGTATAAATAAAAATTAAACTTCTGCTGTTTTTTTTTGAATGTATACGAAGTAATAGGTGGTTCTGTGTTATAAAAATAGGGAAGTATAAAGTTCTGAATGGTAGAGTCATTAAATATAATCGATTAGTTGATGAAATCAATACCTCTGTTAATATATTTAATTTTCAGAAAGTGCCTCTGTTAATATTTTTAATTCTCAGAAAAGCCCAACTTTCATGTCTGGTCATGGCATATTGTCATTTGACTCATATTTCAAATATTTTCGCACTATTCGAACACGATGAGATCGAGCGTTGTCATCCTTAAAGATAGGTCTATCGGACAAACCCAGACCATCAAAATGTGACGATACAGTCCTATCAAGATTAGCATTAAGGTGTCGTCAATAATATGAAGATCTGACATACGGTCATTCGAGTAGCCTCTTCATATTGTTTGGCCACCGCCCTTCATACGCGTTTGTTCCAAAAACATTCTTGTCCGTAGAGGCCGTAATTTTCTCTTTCAAAACACAAATTCTACTGTTAACCCGTTTTGACTCTCATCTGACCAATGTATTCTTCTCCAGTAGCGAATAGTCCATTGTTGATAGTTTCCAGCCCACTGCATTTATTCCCTAAGACACCTTACAATAAGGTCTGATAATTTGATTGGTCGATGAGCCCAAAGGCAAAATATTTGTCATGTTTAAATGGAAGGACACAGTTTATTAAAGGTGAACGACCAGGATCCCTTCTAACTTTTACAAAACAGGGACCGGTTGCAACTGTATTAGGCTTCGTATACTAGCAATATGGAATAAGAATCCGACTTCCATTGCCGATTTAAGCTAAATTGTACAATCTCTTCTGTTTAGCAGTGGAAAAGGTGTTTGATAATTGGAAAATTTTGATATCCCAGATTATTAGAAAATTAATTTCTAATTTGCATCTTAATTTCGATTTTGTACACACTAAAATTCTTGCTTTGTTTAGAACAAAAAATCCGTCGGGTGAATATAATACAGTGAAAAACTTGAAAATAGGATGTTTAACGCAAATATGATCTCTACACCTCCTTGACTTATTTCAATATGAATTGAGTGCAATTTCATGTGAGGATAATATACTGTTAATTTCCAGGACACAGTGACAAAACATAAATTAAAATAAATCATGAACAATAATAAAAAGTCTATGCAAAGCCAAAGGGATCAAACATATTATCTTGTAATTCTTACATTGTAAGTCTGCAAATCCGTAATTTCAAAATTCCAATATTCCAATTCTGAGTTTTGACAGGGAAAATGTGTCATGAAAGTTCAACAGTGATCTTGGAACTCTGCAACCACGTGATGCGACATTCTTGTACTCCATTCAGTCATATACTGCATTACATCTTTGTAACATGAATACTAATTTTTCCTAAATTTTTCGAGAGATTAGACTATTCTTATTTAACAAGGTGTGCATTACGAATTACGAAGCTTTTTATCCTATTGGACTGTTCTATCCACACGTTGGCCGCTTGGCATAGGAGAGCATAGAATGGGAGGAGCTTAAACAAGTGTATTAAATTAGATCACTATGATAGAGGCGAAGGATACCAAAGGGACATTCAAACTCATAAGTCGAAAATAAACTCATAACGCCATGAGTAATAAAGAAAAAAAGACAAGTTGGCAAGAAACAGTGCACAAAACAACATAGAAAAACCAAAGACTGAGCAACTATTATGATGGAGATAAATTAAGAAAAGCGTGTCAGACACGCGAAATTAAGAACGTTATTTTGAATTTACAAGCACTTTGTTGCTACCACTGCTGGTTGACTGTTAGTCCCCGAGGGTATCATGAACTAAGTAGTCATTGCTTTGGTATTGGCGCAAATCAATACACGGTCTGTAACATAAAAGACTCTAATATACTGTTATCGAACCAAATCTCGAATGACCTTTGAAACGCTTCTACCAGATACGAGTCACTTATTGTCTTTGTTTTGTCAATTTTTAGTTCCAATCACTATGGTAACAATTTCAAGTGCACAAGTAGATGAAAATCCAGTGAAGGTTATAAAAGGAAACTCTAAAGAGTTTACATGTAGAACTGATTCCGGTCGACCTCCTGCTACAATACAATGGTATCTTTCAAATGTGAACATTACATATTCTGCTACAAATCAATCTAACGAATGTGCTAGAGACTGTTCTGACGAAAAAACAATATCATCGAGTCAATTCATATACAAAGGGAATACAGATGATCTCGGTAAAACTATATACTGCACGGCTTTAAATATAGAGGGATATAGAGTAAGGTCCAAGAACAAAACAATCGATATATTATGTAAGTATATTTTAAACCGATATACTGACGGACTTTTAAAATGCAACACTAGATTTTTCTCTTTTGCACTTTGAAAGTACAATTTTTTTTCTTTCCTTAGTAGCAATATTCCATAAGTTACTTCTTAATGAGTTTTACCTTCCGCATCTAGTTCGATATGTACATGCACAGTTTGCATTTACCGAAATATTTTCATAAGCATAAATACATAAAATAACATCAGCGAAACCTTTATCATGATTTAAAAAAAATAAAGGATTCATTTGGCGCCTTCGAATATGTTTTCTTAAAAACTTTACCAGGTACGCTCAAAACCGAATTTGAAAGGCTGGAAGGTAAACATATGTAAAATAATATATATATATATATATATATAAGTACGTCTGAACCAGTGACAACTCTACGACAGATTTTATCCACCGGATCACCAGTGATGGTGATACAAGACTGAAAACACATTCTGTATATATAATTCGTCTGAATAACAGCCCAACAATATTAGATCTGTAAATTTGCGCATGCAATTTTTTGTTCTTCCCTGGCCGTGATTCGAACTCATGCTACTGAGATATCATGGTATCAAATCGCCTTTCACAATGCCCGGCGCGCTAGACCACTCGACCACCTAGGCTTGATAAAAAATCAAGCTTTCGGTGGCCGGGTGTTACCTTTCCTCATCAGTTTTTATCTAGGGTCGTAACACAGTACATGATATATAAGGCATGAAGATGGAATATTGCAGATCAGCTAAATTATCGATCATAGAGGATCTTACAAATATATATATATATATATATATGGCCACAGACCACAATTAAATTCTCTATTAGTTCTTTATAACGTTTTGTTTCATTAAAAAAAAATGCACCGATTCTTTTTGTCAAATAATTTGTGTGTGTAAAGTACAGTACTAGTCCAAACATATATCAAACATTCAGAAAAATCGCTCCCCAGCATCTTACAAATTTAGCCAATACACATCCATACCCCTATGGACAAGTCAAGAGATGTTCCGAAAACTGTAAATATCACCTTTTTGCACCTGGCCTAATCACTCTTTCCATATCAAAATCAGTTAAAATACAACATCCAAAAGTTTATTTCACCTCTCTTCTTTCATTTCCATCCAAAAAAATTTAATAAATAAGTGAGGAAGGGAAAGAAAAAAAAAAGAGAAAAAATACACTCTAATTAAAAGGAACTATATTCGTGGACAACGAAAAGCGGGATCATTAATTGTGGTCTTTGGCCATATGTATACAACCAAAAAGACCGGAAAATAGCCAAAGCCACCTTAGGGCGGCTGTGCTCAATTAATCTGCAACCTTTTTTTCATAATTTCTTTATTTACAAAATGTATTTATGTAATAAATAATGACTTTTATGAATATCAGACAAGAGAGAGGCGAAAGATACTAGAGGGGCATTCAAACTCATAAGTCGAAAGTAAACTGACAACGCCATGCCTAAAAAAGAAAAAGACCAACAGACAAGCAATAGTACACAAACACAACATAAAAAACTAAAGACTGAGCAACACGAACCCCACCAAAAGCTGGGTGTCATCTCAGGTGCTTCGGAAGGGAAAGAAGCTCCTGCTCCACACGTTTCATCCGTTATGTTGCTCATGTTATTACAATTACAATCCCGGTAATAAGTCTTATTCGGTAGGTCACATTCAGGAAAAGGGGACGGGATTGTAGTTAAGACATTAGGAACATATCCGTTATCACGACAACTTGGGAAGTTATACCCCCGGGATGAAATGATGGCATTTGTAATTGTACTTTTTTAATATCATTAGTCAAGGTTTAAAATTGAATTAATATAACACTATTTCACAGTTTTAAACAGATGATTTGCAATAAAAGTGGCGTTTTATTTTAGACTCGCCTACAACACCAGCAATTACCAAGACTCCAACAGGTCCTGTAAATGAAAATACAACGATAACTCTTACATGTATAATAAAGGGAGGTAATCCACTAGCAAACATTACATGGTATTGTAATGGATCAACACAAGTCGATTCAACTGGAACTCTAATGAGTTCTAATGCATCTATTTCTTATATTCAGTTAATAGCGAAAAAATCGTATAATGGATTTGTCTGCAGCTGCACTGGTTCACATCCTGCATGGACGCAACCAAATTCCACAATTCTTGTATTACACATAAGATGTAAGTATATTTTTTGCCATAAAAGTTATCCGACGAAGTTAAAACTACCATACGATAGATTCACATACTTTCTTGCCGGCAAATTTTAATACAAAGCTCCATTCTGAGATACTTAATTTCAGAGTTTTTGAATATTTATACATAGTAGTTGTTAGAGTTTATTCATATACACACGCAATCCAGAAAAATCAATTCAAAACGAAAAAAAGGAATCCAATGTATTAAAAATAACTATACAAATAATATCACTTTTGTAAGAAATGGTAACATAAAAGATTAAACATATGCTGACTGGTGTGTACCTAGAATGAACCTTTGTTAAAAGTGCATAATTATATTTGAGGGGCCTCAGTGGTTATTTTTTTCAAATACAATCTTTTCAAGGAGGCATATTAAAAAAAACCTCTGAGAAACCGAAAGCAGAAGCATAATTTCTTTACACTGATTTATATTAACAATAAAAGTGAGGAATCACAATACGAACTATTTCATTGTAAAATTGGAATGATAATCGGGAAACGCGGTCCAAAGTGGTGGTATGGAGACCCTGCTCTCTGCCAACTTTAAATCGTAGAATTCTCTACGACAAAGTTTTGTTCGAAACGAAGTATAAATGATAGGCAAGACCATATATATGCCCAAACCAGATGGCACAGGTTGGAAAATTCACGGAACTACTGCAACTGAAGTCCAAAGTTGGGGTATGGTGACCATATCCCCTCCGTACTTTAGTTCATAAAAAGTCCTTACGGCAAAACTTTTGACTACACTAGTAACAAATGATAGGCAATTGCCTAACGTTGCCTGGACCAAAAGTCCCAGGTGGGTAAAGTTACGGGACGTCTAAAACTGAAGTCCAAAGTTGGGATAAAATGACTCTACCCCTCTCTACTTTTATTCATAAAAAAGTCCCTACGGCAAAACTTTCGTCCACACTAGGTACAAATAATAGGCAATTGCCTAAGGTTGCCTGGACCAAAAGACTCAGATGGGTAAAGTTACGGAACGTCTACAACTGGGATCCAAAGTTGGAATAAGGTGATCCTACCCCCTCCGTACTTTAATTCATAAAAAAGTCTCGACGACAAAGCTTTTCTCCACACTAGGAACAAATGATAGGCAATTGTCTAAGGTTGCCTGCACCAAAAGACCAAGGTGGATAAAGTTACGGAACGTCTACAACTGAGGTCCAAAGTTGGGATAAAATTACTCTACCGTCTCTCTACTTTAATTCATAAAAAAGTCCCTACGGCAAAGCTTTTGTCCACACTAGGAACAAATGATAGGCAATTGTCTAAGGTTGCCTGCACCAAAAGACCAAGGTGGATAAAGTTACGGAACGTCTACAACTGAGGTCCAAAGTTGGGATAAAATTACTCTACCGTCTCTCTACTTTAATTCATAAAAAAGTCCCTACGGCAAAGCTTTTGTCCACACTAGGAACAAATGATAGGCAATTGTCTAAGGTTGCCTGCACCAAAAGACCAAGGTGGATAAAGTTACGGAACGTCTACAACCGAGGTCCAAAGTTGGGATAAAATTACTCTACCGTCTCTCTACTTTAATTCAAAGCTTTTGTCCACACTAGGTACAAATGATAGGCAATTGCCTATGGTTGCCTCGACCAAAAGACCCAGGTGGGTAAAGTTACGGAACGTCTACAACTGAGGTCCACGAAGTTGGGGTATGGTTACCTTACCCCCTTTCCCTCTTTAATTCCTCAAAATGTTGCGCACCGTACATTGATACATAAAAATAACATAAAATAGTGCTCATGCCTTAAATAAAAAGAAGAACGAACTCCCCTTTTACCAAAAGAAATCAATTACTCAAACAGCTTTGTTTTGAAAGGTATACATTTAAATAGGTTATATACATTGTCTATTCTTTTATCCTTTAATACATCAGATTGTTTAACAAAATATAGAAAATTCTCTGCAAAAACTACAAAATAACTGACGACAATAACTGATAACTAGATCTTATCAAGGTGGTCATTTTTGATATATACAGTTTCTCCCTGTGTACTTTAGTTTCATTTTTGTCATTTACAGTTTTCGTTTCTAATATAGAGTTTTAAAAAAGGGAATATCATAAAAGAAAATGGTAAAGATCATTATTTAAGAGCAAAATCTACTTTAAGGATTCTTCTTACAGTTTTGGGTTGAAATTGGTTGTAGGTAGGTCTTTATTTGGAATTAAAAGCATTTCTGTCCTCGCATATTTTCATTTATAAAGGTTTACAAGATACAAAGCCAATACTTGCATTTAAAATTTGTTTTGAACCCTATGGTCTTTTAAGCATCTATATGGTCTTGTCTATCATTTGTATTTCGAATCGACAAAAACTTTGCCAGAGTGGTTTCTAAGATTTAAAGTTGGCATAGGGTAGGGTATCCATACCCCAACTTTGGACCTCAGTTGCAGAATTTCTGTGAATTAACCCACCTGGGCCATCCGGTCTGGGCAACTTTAGGGCCTTGCCTATTATTTGTACTTAGTATGGACAAAAGTTTTGTCGCAGGGAATTCTAAGATTTAAAGCTGGCAGGGGGTAGGGTCTCCATACCCCAACTTTGGACATCAGTTGCAGATATTCTGTGAATTTACCCTCCTGGGCCATCTGGTCCGGGCTACTTTAGGATGTTCCCTATCATTTGTACTTAGTGTCGACAAAATGTTTGCCATAGAGAATTTTAAGAATTAAAATTGGGATGTGGTAGGGTCTCCATACTCCAAACGTGAACCTCAGCTGTCGAAGTTCCGTAAATTAACCCACCTGGGTCATCTCGTCCGTGAAACTTAAGGACTTTGCCTATCATTTGTACCTTGTGTAGACAAACGTTTTGTTGTAGGGAATTCTAAGATTTAAAGCTTGCAGGAGATAGGGTGTCCATACCCCAATTTTGGACCTCAGTTGAGGCAGTTCCGTGAATTTACCCATCTGAGCCGTCTGGTCCGGGAATCTTCAGGGCCTTGCCTATCATTTGTACCTGGTATGGACAAAAGCTTTGTCGACGGAAAATCGGAAAATTTATAAAAATTAAAGTTCGGAGGGGGTAGGGTCTCCATACCACAATTTTGGACATCAGATGCAGAAGTTCCGTGAATTTACCCACCTTGGCCAACTGGTCCTGGCAACTTCAGGGCCTAACCTACTATGGACAAAAGTTTTGTGGTTAAGCATTTTCTAGGAATTAATGTTTGGAGGGGAAAGGGTCTCTATACCTCAACTTTTGAACTCAGTTGCATGAAGTCCGTAGAATAACCAATCTTCAGTCATCTGGTCCAGGCAAATTTATGACATTGTCTATCATTTGTTTCTAGTGTGGACAAAAACTTTTCCGTCGAGATTCTTTTACGAATTAAAGTTTGGAGGTGAAGGGTCTCATAACTCAACTTTGGAACTCAGTTGAAGAAGTTCCGTAAATTTACACTTCTAGGCCATCTGGTCCAGGCAACATTAGGGCATTGTCTATCATTTAAAATTCGGATAGGAAACGGTCTGCATACCCTAAATGTAGGCCTCAGTTCCGTGAATTAACCCACCTTGGCCATATGGTCCGGGCATCTTCATAGACTTGCCTAGCATTTGTACCTAGTACGGACAAACACTTTGTCGTAGGGATTATTTAAAGAATTAAAGTTGGGAAGGGGTAGGGTCTCAATACCCTAACTTTGGACCTCAGTTGAAGAAGTACCGTGAATTTACCCACCTGAGCCATCGGGTCCGGGATACTTTAGGATACTTTAGGTTGTTGCCTATCATTTGTACCTGGTATGAACAAAAGCTTTGCCATAGGAAATTTCTAACAATTTGGGAGGAGTAGGGTCTCCTCATACCCAAACTAAGGACCTCAGTTGAAATAGTTTCGTGAATGTATCCACCTTGGTCATATGTTTCGTGCAGCTAAATGGCTTTGCCTATCATTTGTACATATACTTCGTATCGACAAAAACTTTGCCGTAGATAATTCTTAGGAAATAAAATTGGGATATGTAGGGTCTCCATACCCAAAATGTGAACCTCAGTTGATGCAGTTTTATGATTTTATCCATCTGGGACATCTGGTCCGGGAAACTTCATGCCTTGCTTATTATTTGTACCTAGTGTCGGCAAAAGCTTTGCCAAAGGGAATTTCTAAGAATTAAGGTTTGGAGGAGTAGGGTTCATACCCCAAATGTGGACCCCAGTTAAAGCAGTTCCGTGAATTTACCCACCTGGGCCGTCTGGTGCGGGCAATTTCATGTCCTTGCCTATCATTTATACCTAGTATGAACAAAAGCTTTGTCGTAGGGAATATTCTATGAATTCATGTTGGGAAGAGGTAGAGTAACCATACCCCGACTTTTGACTACAGTTGAAGAAGTTCCTTGAATTTACCCACCTGGTCCATCTGGTCCAGGCAGCTTTAGCGCGTTGACTATTATATGTACCTAGTGTGAAGAAAAGCTTTGCCATAGGTATTTTTTAAGTATTAAAGTTGGGAGGGGTAAGGTCTCAATACCCTTATTTGGACTTTAATTGCAGAAATGAATTTACCAAACCGGACTATCTGGTGAGGTCAATTTCAAGGCCTTGCCTATTATTTGTACCTAGTGTTGACAAAAGCTATGCCAAAAAGAATTTCTAATCATTAAAGTTGGTAAGAGTTGAGTTCATACCCCAAATATGGACCTCAGTTGCAGCAGTTTCGTGAATTTACCAACCTGGGCCATCTGGTCCAGGCAACTTCAAGGCCTTGCCTATCATCTGTACCTAGTATGAAACAATTAAAGTTGGGAGGGTAGGGTCTTCTTATCCCTTCTTTGAACCACAGTTGCAGAAGTTCCGTGAATTTACCCAACTGGATCATCTGGTCCAGACAACTTTATGGCATTGCCTAACATTTGTATATAGAATTGACAGAAGTTTTATCGTAGGGAATATTTAACGAATTGAAGTTGGGAAGGGGTAGGGTTCATACCCCAAATGTAAACCTCAGTTTCAGCAGTTCCGTG